TCCCCCACCACCTCTCTCTCTATATACACACATATATATATCTATGTATATGTTATACATACAGGACAATATTATGTGAGGTCATTTTAAGGTATATATATATATACACACATATATATAGCTACTTAGCTGTATGGAGGCAAATACCAGAAGACAAACCTAAGAATTGAAAATGATTGCCTCTTGGGATCAGGTCTGGGTGGTGAAGAGGGTTGAGACATTGCTGTTTGTTATGTGGCTTTTAGTACTATTTGACCTTTTAAACTATGTACATGTATTACTTTGATTAAAAAACCAATTTCTGAAAAGAGCAAATAAGTAACAGTTTATTAAAAATAAATGTAAGAGAGACAGAAAAATGGCAGACTAGTGGGGGCCAGCCAGCTCATTGCTCTCAGGGAAAGAGGTGAAGAGTGCAGGCAGCTGCCTATGTGTGTATCACTCTCTCTGGAAGCAGCGTTGTGAATTCACAGAGAAGCAACCTCGGACCCTCAGTGTGGAAAAAAAGGTGATGGGGAGATACATATATGAAGATTAGAGAACTCGAGGAGAACAGTAGAGAATAGAGCACGAGAGAGCCATGCTCACCTTGCCAGCGCAGTGTGATCTGAACTGCAAGAGGACAACAGCCACCCCTACAGACCTCCTACCCACTCAGACAGTGACGTTCCTGGTGGCGGTGCAGAGCCGTTGTACTAAACAGGCTCTGTGGAGAAGAGGCAATAGCCGGGGCCATCCTGAACTCTCAGGTGCACCATTTCGGGACTACACGGGGCTGGGGAGGGACTGGACTGATTTGAGGCTTCCCTGAGCCGTACCCTTGAATTTGGAGCCAGGCGCTTCACCCCTAGAGTTCAGCGGCACCTGGGCATAGGAAGTGACCGGAAAGCGGCAGGCGTCGATCTGAGGTGCTATGGGCGACCGCTTCAGCGGGTTTTGGGCAGGGAGTGGAGGGCTGCAACCTTTGCATTTCTGATCTGGCATCCACGGGTTCCTTGTACCTGGGAGACGGCTTGCAGCCTGCCTGGCACAGAACCTGCCCTCCAGGTCAGGTTGGAATGCCATTTCCCCAGCCCCAACTTCAAAGACCTCAGTCAGAGCCTTTGCTTCTGGCTCCACCCCAGTTCTAGCTCGGACACTCTCACGCTGGGGTGCAGTAGGCTCAGCCCTGAGAGGCCTCGAACAGCCGCTTCCACCGGCTCTGGGAAGGATGACAAGAACTCTACTGTCCTCTATTGTCTGACCTGCATCTGCGGGATCCTTGTGTCCAAGAAGCAGTTTGCAGCCTATTCACCCGAGCCCGCCCTCCAGGCCCTAGCCGCCTCCTGATTGCCTGACCTTGACCCCGCCCTCCAGGTCAGGTTCAACCCAGAGACTGCTGCTGCCACTGGGCTGGGAGCTTCTCGCAGACAGGGCACCAGGCTCCCAACCCCCTCGGGGTGCCTCCCACCTCACAGACCCAAGCCAATCAGAAGGTGCCATATTGCCCCTCAACTCTCTGGGCAACTTTGTCCTCCTCCCCAGGGGGCTTCAACTCTTCTGGTTTGGTCTTGCTCATCCCCACACAGACATTTCTCAACTCCAACACAGACTGGAGGAGCCACAGAGGTCCAGTGGGTCCCAGGGTGTTCTGTGTGACTCCAGAGCCCAGTCATTTTGGGGGACTGCCTCCTGGAGAAAGGATTAGAGAAGACCTGATTGCTGGCTTTCCTACATCTAGTCTGTTTTTCTCCCTTGCCCCTACCATACACACAACTGCATAGAGAGACAATTGAGCCACCACACCGAGGCTCCCATAGGGAGCAGGGCTCAGACCTCTCCTTTTGGGGTTCTGCAGTGGACTGAGGGGTGCTTTGTCTTTGAGCTCCCTGCCTGCCAGCACTCCCTGCTCCTGCTTGCCTGGCAGCCACATTAGAGCACGACAGGCCCTGAGGCAGAGGGACATCAAACCACCTTGGACGTCCTGTGAGTGACACCAGAGCAGCATCCTTATTCCTGGCATGGTCAGAGATGGATCTCCGGGGCCGGGGGACGGGCCTGCAGACGAGAACCCGTACACCCAAGCCTTGAGTGCAGTACCTGGGAGCACGGAGGGGATATTCATGATCTACTCTCTGCAGGTATGGGTGCCTGTAGGGGCAGATCAGTGGGTAGAGTGCAGTGTGGGTCCTAGCTGTGGTGTGTTGATGGGGCACCCCTCTGCCCACAGGAGGATGACACTCCCAGCTCAGGCCGGGATCCTGGGCAGGGAACCTCCTTACCTGCATCACAGTAATGGGCCAGCTTGGCTATCTTGAGGTCCTGCCTACCGGGAGAGGCCTGGGAGGAACTGAGGAATAGGGGAGGGCTGAAAGGAGCGAGGCCCACTCCAGACTGCCAAATTGTGGGTCTCAGACAGCCCTACCTCCACACAGCCTTTTTGGTAGAGTGGGGCCACTTCAGCCCCTCCCAGACAGCTTTTCCCAGAGGCGGGTAATGGACTATTGAACCCAGCACATCACTTGCCAGCATTTGTGGAGCTTGAGGGCAGGCTCACCCAACCTAACCCCACCCAGCCTCACTCCCCAACCTGCTTCTGCTATGGTAGAGAATGAAGGACTCACCTGGAAGTTCCAGGGCCTAACCTACCAACTGGGGCATCAGAGTGTTTCTCCTGAGGAACTAGAACCAGTCATAGGATCCAAAAACAATACTGCAGCTTGTTCCCTCCATCAAACACCACCTACTGACAGGGAGGTCAATTTGCATGCCCTTTAACTGCATTTACTGACTCAGTCTTACAGGGTTTGGTTGATTCTCACCCACAAGAACCACCTACTGACTTAGAGATTAAACTGGGCATGTCATTAACTAAACAAAAGAAAATTCTAAAGGAGCAACAGCTGCTCCAGATGAGAAGGAATCAGGTAAAGAACTTTGGAAATATGAAGAATCATAGAGAAAGGTCACCCTCAAAAGGGAACACCAGTTTCCTAGCAATGGATTCCAACCAAAACCAGAATATTGAAATGACAGATGAAGAATTTCAAACATGTATTGTAAGGAAGCTTAATGGAATACAAGATAAAATAGAAACCCAACACAAAGAAACCACAAAAACAATGCAGAAAATGAATGAAAAATTCACTAAAAAATTGAAT